AATAAATAAAAATAAATATAAAAATTTAAAAAGTTTATTTAGAAAAATTAAAATAAAATATTTGAAAAATGTGAAAAAATTAAAATAAAAAATATTTTCAGTATCCGTTTTGGCCTGACAATTTTTTTTTATTTCGGTTTCGTTTTGGTTTTAACATTTCCATTTCGGTGCACCTCTACTATCAACCCACAGCCTGTGATTGGACAGTGATGGGGCAACAGCAGACTTATCAGGTTATCTCTCTACTGACTCTGCTCTCTCATCTTATCAGAATGTTTCTTGTCAACACATGTGCATGCAGCAAACATGATTTCCTCCCAGCACTGCCCCTCTGGGTCTCATTTTGAGCTCTGCTGCACAGAGGCTGACACCAAGCCCAATTCAGGCACTTACATTGCTTGCATTAAATAACGATTTATTGATTTATTATTGAATACAAAGCTGCATTAAATTGTGTCTTTTATACATGCCTGGAATTCAGCTTTCCATTTATCCCAGCAACACATATTATCCAATAAGTAAACTTGTCATCAGACAGGTAAATCTGAAATCTTCTACTGGTTATATGGCTGTTATGCTCACCAATGGTTTCAGCACATCGAGTCAATGATTCAGAGAGAGTATGCAGATCAGGAAAATCAGAGGGCTTGTTCTACGTCAGTGACCAAAGCAAGACGTTACCAACATGAGAGCCATGCAACAAGAATCTTCCCAACTATTCCTATAATAAGGTAAAGAGCTATGCACAAACCAAACTGTGCAAGCCACCCTATAACAACCAATCAGAAATTACAAATAATCTTCAGTGAAAAGCTGAAACTCCACGGGATGAAGTAGATAACTGTTTACAACTGTTCTATGCAAAAAATGGGGCAGATGTGCAAAATGACTAAGTCTAACCATATTTTCAGTGATAAGAAGCAAGATATCACCTTCCTTCAGTTAAAAACAGTCACAGCCTTAAGACTTTAATAAGCTACAGCATCTTTCATACTGCTCTTCAAGCTGACTGTATTTTGCTTTTGTTCACAATTCTTATACGACATGGACACTAAAAAGCTAATCACAACTACAGACAGTAAACCCACAATGTGCCTTAGTATGACTTTGACTGCTGCTTTTCATTAAGCAATCAACGTAGCCCATTAACTCTAGGCTTGAAGGCTCACAATACACTGCTCTGCCATCTAAAAGATCACAAAGTGTGCAAGAATGATTGATCATCCCCATTCCAGATTCGATTACTTAGTGATAGCAGAGCTGATCATTTCATTTTCCTCCGTAAAGGTACATTAGTCAGAGGTCTGACTGACTATTGACCAAATCATTTAGTGATGAACAATCCAATAACTGTTCGGGTTGCATCCATGCTAAACATAACAAAATTATTTAAACATTTCTCAGGAAGAAGTGACAGCATCCACTTCATCAGGGCCAAGAGAACCTTCTGTATATTATATTAGAACCGCCTGCATTCATGATGCTTCAACCAGTAACACTCCATTTTCAGCTCTGGACAGATATTAAATCTGGGGGTCGGGGTAGATGGTTAGACAAACACGTTTTTGGGTTATATTCCTACAATAGTTATTTTATTAATTA